TAGATCTCTCCTTGGTGAAAACTTGGAATTGTTAACAGTTTCTGCATCTTAAAGCGATTGAAAATATAAAAATCCCGACCAACAGATTTTCGAGATGTTGTTAATTAAACGGGTGAGCCCAACAGTCTTCACTAATTTTAGAAACAGATTTATGTAGCGCACATTTTATTGCTTCTTAGAGTTTTTATTAATTTCAATTTTCACCAACGCACAATCATGTCTTTAAGATTATATGTATAATCCCTCACATTTTTTCTTACAATGCAAAGTCAATGTCAAGTGCAGCCTCTTTAGACGCACTTTTACTTTAGAGGATTAAAGGATTAAGACAAGTGCCGAAGTTGCCGACAGGCTGAATTGGATCTTTCCACTTTCGTACGATTAGTGATAAATAACTCCGTCAATGGTTCGCGGAAGATCCGTCGGCGTTATGAAAAGGTCCCCGAGAGGCTCGCGAGTGTGTTATCGGACATTCGCGGTGGCGATTAAGCGGCTAGGTGTCGTCACGCGTACGTGTATGCGCCAGCGAGGGTGTGTTCGTACGCGTTATACACGGGCGTTCAACACGGGCAACGTAGGGACAAGAGAGGCGATATATAATGTTCCGCGATATTAAACGGGACGCATTCCACCGAAGCCACCCTCTGGTTCCTGCTATGAATGCTTCTACGACCCCCGTCTCCTGTCTCACTCCCCTGCCTGCCACCCACCCCCTCTCGTCGACTACCTCCGAAAAGCGGGAGGACGAGGAAGAGAGAGATAGATAGAGACAGAGGACTCGACCAGGGACACCCCCGAATGGTTATACGCCAAATTTACAGCTTAGCCAGTGCCACGCTACTACTACCACCGCGAATACAGCATTTACTACCTCATCCCGGACCCCGGTAGAGTCCCCCGCAACCGATACATGCCATGCATCTGTATGTCAGTATGTGGCTCAAGGATAAAACAGCAAGAACATTTTCTCTGCGCCTCCGATATGGCGTTCTCGATGGCGACGTCGCGAAGAAGGCTATTCAAAGTATTCAAATTGTTGAACAACTCTGCGAGATTTGCGTGATTTTTACTATCTTTCATTGAAATGCACAGAGATGATGTAGAGTTAAAAAGTCATTCGTATTTTGTTTCGACATTTTTTTCGTTTCAACATTTTTAAATGTCCCAAGAATACTGCAGGGCTTTCGATATCTTGATCTCATTCTATTTATTCTAAAAATACCGAGATTATCTCACGTTGATAAAACAATAATCAAATTTTCCTGTTTAACGAGAATCATACCATGTCCATGAGTTTCCAAGAGCTTCAGGGATTTACTGCACACACACACACAATATTGTTCAAAACCAAACGTACAAAAACGTACAAAAATGTAGAAAAACAGGGTGAAAGATGAACGTGACGGTCTCATTCTCGCAAATTTCCACAATGTCCCATATCATCTGCCTTTGTCGCTCAAAAATTTCTACATTCGTCGCGCTGTTGCAATCTCTACACGTTGGGTGTTTTGCATTATCATAATTCTTATTTTAGTATAGAACCTCAGTATAGATTCAACAATTTAACAACTGAATTAATTAGTTCAATAAAGCAGTAACAAAATTAGGAAGTTTTATCCAGATGTGTACGTAACGTTTAACATATTTTCTTCTGCTATGTAAGTACGCACTAATATTTTTTGATATTTCAAGATGGAGAATTATATAGAAGTCTTCTGGTTTGTTTAAGTTAAAAAATAGATTCTTGGAGAGAAAGATTAATAATACACTGCAATTGTATTTATAAAGTAGTACAAAAATATATATGCATTTGCCTAAAACAGATTGCCTCACACGTGCATCTATTTTTGTTTATTTTAATTATTACGACGTTTATAAGTATTTGTATTTATATAAGTATAAACGATCGATATATGAATTTGAAATATTTTCCAAGCATCAGAAAGAACTTTACTGCACAAAGAAATTAATATTATTTTGTAGATCGTTATACAAAATTAATCGAACGCTGTCTTAGGTATTGGCTCCTGATGGTGGAGCCTAATAAGCATCTACTGAATAATCCGACCTATTCGACCGATGCGCGTCCTTATTACTACCGTTTCTCTTTGCGGGCCGAAAATTTGTCGCGACTCGATCATTACTCAACGAGAGCCGGGAAATCTAGCACCGTAATATCTGGCACCGAGCGACAGCGCGGATAATGGAGAAGGACGCATATGTCCGCGATCTCGCGCGATCGTAGTAGTGGCCAGGACATTCCGAGGTTTCGCCAGCGAGAGGCGTTCTCCCTCTCGAAGTTCCTGCACCCTATCACGGTCGGCCTGGTCATACCCTATCCTTCATCCGAACATTTCCATCCCCTGGGTAACCTCGATTCTCTGTTCTCCACCCCCCCCCACCAACCCCTCTTCTTCGTTGCCAGCAAGAGCGCCGAATGCAATCATACGTCATCCACCATGATCTATGTCTTGTGCTGTTCTAGCGTCACGCGCTCGATCTAGCGCAAGCTAGATCATGTGCACGTGTACATATTCACACACATATGCACACTTGCACGTGCACGTGCGCGAGTACGCGTCCGCATCTCGCGTCTCTATTAAGCCACCACTCATTTTCCAGCTTGCATATGAGCATGTTCGCCGTTAGCCGCGACCACCCGCCGGATGATTGCTGCTAGCTTCCGTGCGTTTTCAGGAGAAACGTATATCCCTGACAGTTAGCTTGCCTATCTTTATGTGAAGCATCGCCTTCGGTTCATTCATGACAAGCCAGAAAAAAACAACAGTACATTTTGAAACACTAGTATTTTCAAAATACTACAGTATTATAAGAATTTATACAGTATTATAACAAGAATAACATGAGGAAATGTATCTTATAAAGAGCGATAGTGATGCGTTTTTTAACACGTGAGTGGTTAGGAGAATGAAAGGGATTAAAAAGGGGACTGAAAGGGATTTTAGATCGCAAAATAAAATGTGCTTAGATGAGTGGGAGGAAGTAAACATGTTGAATTTACTTATATAATGAATGTGACATATATTGTTTTCATTCACTTGCTTCTTCAATTCCAATTATATCATCCAAAAGCATTTTTTTTAATTTATAAGAAACTGATTATTTATCGCGCACATCTATTTTTTGAAAATGGCTAAAAACAAATTTTATTAATTAATAAGTGAAATATGTATATTTTGCGACATGCTACATGTTGAAGAAAATTTCTCATTCGAATTCTGCATAACAAATTAATTACAACGCAATAATTTTTTTCGAGGTTATCCGTTACCGACTTGCTCCTCGCAAAAAGACGCTCAGCAAACAACGATACCTCAACTCACCCAGGTACAGGCCCACTAAACCCAACAATCCCTTGGCCTCTTCCCCAAATGCATAAAGTGGTACGCGTAACACGAATATCTGCGTATAATTAACAATTATCCTTCTCATCTCTTGAGCCGTGGAATGGCCGGTACATGCGCGCTGGCCCCCGCGAATGATCCTCCGATGAATTTCGTCATCACGACGAATGCCATAGAGAAGGTGAGAGACAGGGTAGAGTGAGAAAGGGGCCGACTGCGGAGGGCACGCTCCGCTTTTGGCTCGGGGGGTGGTTGTTGCTACGGATCGGGATTTGCACCGCCGCCGGTAGTACGAACCTAGCCGGGGAATAGGGGTCTTTTCCGGGGGCTTAACATACACACTCCACCCCCGGTAGGCGGAGTGTACCGCCTACGAGCTACCCCCACTCGCCGCCGTGGCACTGATACGCGATATCAGCGAACACTTGTTGCTCCGACAAGTATAGAGCGACGACGGAGTGCCGTCTCTCTGCCTCACTTTTACCCCTCCACGCACGGCCACGATTTTTCACGTGCTGATTTTTCCGCCACCTTCCTCTCCGCGCGCAGCGTACGTATGCCTCCTTCTCTGCCTTCACATTCTCTGAGCGAGTCTAATCTGATGGGATAATATTCCAGGACGAGGATAATAAAAACGAGCTCGCTGCTAATAGCGAGCGGACGTACGTCGTTTAGCTACAGCGAACATTATTATAAACAATAATCTACATAAACGTAGGAATCATATGTGCAGAAAGAGTCCTCAAAGAGTGTACTGTAATGATTATGGAACTGCGGATAACACTTGTCGTCACGAATCAAAAAATTTCGCTCGTATACTTCTTTGTTATATCAACGTAGAAACTTTTACTTTGCCAGTAAATAACGTAACCGTAAAGATTTTTTACTCAACCCAACTGGCTATCTTTATTTATCACGAGGTTTGGGCCCGTGGTTTCGGTCAATTATAATCGTTATACAACTAACCCAACTTACTAACCTAACGTTTCGGCTATAGGTTTTAGTCTTTCTCAATCGATGTAACTTTTGATGCTAATATATATTAGCATCTGATATGATGCTGATATATATTAGCATTTTCTTTAAAATCACTGTAAAGAATTTGCGAAAAATATCATCTCAGCCGGGATTTGAACTTAGACCTCCTTACATTCCGTGACGGGCGTCTTTTTTACACTTGTCGTCGTTTAATTAATATCTATATTATTATTAATATTGGAATTATTATTATCATACCAAGATTATTATACACGTTATAAACACTTTTTGCTACTGAGAGATGTAACAAAATCACCCGAATGTTGCTTTTTTTCCATTCTTTCATTTTCATCATTTTCCGTTCTACTAATCTTACGTATCGTTTCGCGTATTTATTATCTTTAACTTTTATCACGACGTTTCGACATTATCCTTATTCGATGTCACGAGCTCAACTTTATACGCAACTTTTACGAAAAAAGCTTATTTATATGGTTATAGATTTTGTGAGAGGCAGTAATAACTTTCTGTCTCGCAAAATAAATCCAGGTCATTCTCGTAAACTCAGTTTACGAAGCTGGACTGCGAGCACAGCTTGAGACTGGGATTTTTCCGAGAGGAGTTAATAAACTGCATTCGTCCCCCGTTTTGTTACAGGCAGTGCGGTGGCTGCAGCCGACACCATTTCCGCGCCGTGGACCCCCGCGAGTTCCGGGCCGCCGCCCGACGCCAACGGCTCCGGCTCGGATACGAAGAACCTCGACGTTGGCGAAATTAGCGATGTAAGTCAACCATGCCGTCGCCAATTAACAACAACTGCGAGCGTAGTCTCGGTGCCCTTTTTTATTTCAATTAACTCGCCAACCTGAGTTCGAAGGGACGAGCTTTTTCGGCTCGCGTTTACTTACGTCACGGAAGAACACAGCGCTTAAACTTCCGCAGTAGTCAGTATAGAGCCGACATTTATCGTTATTCTTTCGGCATCATTTTATGCAAAGACTTAAATTGAGCTAAGCAAAATTTCTCGCTGTAAAGTGTAGGTGCAATCGTTATACTTGGTTTAATACTTGCGGAAGCCGGTAAAAATTGATTAAGACTTTTCGCCAATTTTCGATTACTTCTATCACTGCTGTACGTATCATGCAGAATTTGTAAAAAAGGAACGTTAGTGAGTCATTAGTTTTTGTTATATAATTCAAATTTGTAGTTGATGTGATATGTGCGCAATTTTTAAAAATTGTTCTAATAGTTTTTTAACTTACAATTAGTGTTAAAAGAGCGGTCATGGTTTCTTTCGTGTTTAAATCTTACTTTTCTATCTTACTCATTTGGCAAAGAAAAAGTTCCAAAATATTTGAGAGATAAAAGATATGATATTAAAATTATTATGTAGGATTTATAGGGCATTTTGTAATGCCAAAATAAAACTTAACAACAGTTTATTTAGCAATATTTTATAATCTTTGATGTTCCTAAAGTTAATATCGAACTTACGGTTAATATTAACATTACAGCTTGAACTAAATAACAAAGTTATATCGATGTCGAGAGAGAAGTTAGCTTTTTGAAAGAATTATGCGACATTGAAATTTCAATACTTGGATCTCTATAAATATCACACGGTTCAAAATTAAATCACTTTCGCGGTTGTTTTATTTGGAAACCTTGGTTGCATTTGGAAATATATTCTACTGTGATAAGACAACATCATGAATATTAAAGTGATGAAAAATGCACGGGATTATTTAAACGTTACGTCGTTAACTTTGGCACATGCAAATTGGATTTATTTGGGTCAGACGTAAAAAGTCACTTCAAAGCTTCAAAGATAAAGACATTTCAACATTTTACTTCTCGTTTTTTATATATTATTCAATATTATTTATTGTTTCTATTCGTTTACAGAGAGCGAAATAAGCGCGCAAAGTTTCTTTTTTTTTGTCGGAAAACTTTAGTCACTCGTACGAACGAGACACAGTAGATCAACAGATCTCGTTGATCTACTCTTAGACTCTTAGGCCTTGATCAACGCGAACCGAGATCAAATCGAGGACTTTTTCGTATCAACGGAGAGTCTGCCGTTTTGGATCGCGTGCTCGACGATATTATATCGAACGTGGCGAACGTGACTAGGGTTCTCGGAAAAGAGATAGCCTGCCTGTTTCCTCGCACCCTTTCCGCACTTCTCGGTATCTAAACGCCCAGGATAACCGTTCGTTTCTCGGCGCATGGCACGGAGAAACAGGGGGGATCACATGTTTCTCTCTTTGCGCGGCACGGAGGTTTTCGATTCGTTGAGAAATTCCAGTTAACGAAGTACTATTCGAACTACTAGATGGTTCTGTGTATCGCGTATTCGCGCAACATCGTCACCCTTCGAACTAGAAGGTATCCTAGCACACCGTGCGGATTTCGATGCGATGGACGGCGCGAAAGAAAAACGGAGGCGAAGAGGCGAAAACGCGAGATACTCTCTCGATTCGATGAGAGAGAAAGAGAAAGGGTTAAGTCCACTCACTCGGCCACGTTCCAGGCGTGGCTTCGCGGCTGCTGGGGATCCTTTGTTTCAGAGGGCGAAAAGTCTCCGAGGTCCGGCCACGTTCGCGATCGACGCGGCAGATAAATTGCGCGCGCGCACGGTCAGCGGCGGAATCGCAAATAAATGAACTTTTCTCGAACGTGCTCAGATCGTCGAAATGCATCACGGCGAGAACACTCTCCTGCGACGAAACGTAATCGTGACGAACGTGATGAATGTTTGCGCGAGAATCACGATTGACGTGCCTCGGAATTGAAAACGTTTTTGATCGGAAATTGATAGCTGATAAGAAGTTGAAATCTGATTGGAAAGCTAATTCGATAGCGGAACACACGTCAATGCAAGTTTTCCTGCAAAATTTGTATTATAGAGTTGAATAAGTGATCGAACTTGTTTTTATTAAATATTAAAATTATTCTTATACTATTCTTTACAAGAGTTTGAGATAATAATTAATTTTTATTATACGTAGTATATTTCATAAAGTTTCTTTGTTTTCAAAATATGATTTTATGATTGAAATCACTGACAGGATTATATAAAAAATGCACAAAGAATTGGCTTAAACTGTTTTGTCGACGATTCAATTTTGACACAGAAACGTAAATAGTTAATTTGTACTCCACGATTAATGATGATCAATTGCACAAATAGGGATTTTAATTTGAATTAAAAAATTATAGTATGTAATATGTGTATATGTCGACAAATATTGTTTTTTTTTTTTATTATTTTTATATTGGTTTACGATATTATCAAGAATGTGTTATCTTTTTCTGTGAGAGCCTTATTGAGATTATAAGGGTGTCGGGGCTCTAGCTGATGTATGATACGTGCAATCCATCCTTCTTAGGTTATGCTAGATTAGATGATCGTATTTTCCAGGACGAGAAGGACCTGTCGGCAGCGGACGCAGAGGGTGTGTGGTCGCCGGATATCGAACAGAGCTTTCAGGAAGCTCTTACCATATATCCGCCATGCGGTCGTCGCAAAATCATCCTTTCCGACGAAGGGAAGATGTACGGTGAGTGCCACATATATTTCTATCGTTTTCCGATCTATCGCACAAAAGTCCTTTCGTTATGACTTTAAGACTTTGTGAACTCTCATCACCTATGTATGTGTATATGTGATTAATGTGATAGTCACGTCACGCAGCTGACAAAGGTATACATATGCCGCGCGATAAGAATGAGTTGGGCCAAGTTAAATGATAATGCTCGTAACATTTAAGAAATCACGCATGTAGTATATTATTTCGCATATACGCAAGTACTTATTATATATTACCAATCGTTACAATTTAGTCTCGAATAAAATATGACATTATTAATTAGAGTATAGATACTATTATTCGATTTTTTCTTAAAAAAGAATATCTTTGCAAATGCAATATTATTCCGAAATGAGAACACATACGATATCAATGTTAAATACGAAAAAATGACTTTGACTTGCGTTACTATACATCAAATGTTAACCGGTTACCATTTATTAAAATAATACGAGCCTTGTAATTTTTGAAAAAATAGTAGAAAAGGACTTTATATATTTCATTTAGGAATTATCTTTCATCGAGGAAAGAAAGCGAGGGGAGGGGAAGAGACGTTGATATTTACAAAGTCAGTTTTTTAGTTTCTACTGTTTTCTGTTCAAACTATTAATTTCCTACGATTCGCGTAATATTGCGGTGAAAGAAATTTAATGATTGACGAAATATATTGTCCGGCACGACATTTTATTATTCGCTTTGATGAATAATCCATTCGGATGCGCTCACATTCTCGTAAAGCTCATCTCACTCAGCGAGAGAGCCGCGTGCGTTCGTTCGAGGCTGCGTTATGTCGAGTAACGTGCCTAATGCCACCCGAAGAAAAAGTCCGAGGAAAGAACGTTGTTCTCCATGTGACGAGCACACTACTGACAGCAACCACCGCTCGCCAACCTCCGCTCGCCGCGCGCCCGCGCCCGCGCCGTCCTCCACGTACGCGATGACGGTGACGGAGAAACGTCCAGACGAGGCGTCGTTATTGCTCCGGTGCTGAGGTCAGTCTACGTGACTGACCAGATATTGCCCGGTACGAGACCGGCGGTACCGCCATGGCCACCGCCGTAAACCACCACCACCATTAACCGCCATGAACTCGCCACCGAAGCAATAATGCCTCGCCTTCGAAGGAATATTCGCCCTTCTGGCCGTCCCCGGCCGCGGCGCCGAACCCCTACTTTTGTGCCCTCTTTGCCTGTCTTTTGTATTAATTTTCTCATTTTCTTGCCGTGAATTCGCCGCCGTACAGTTTTGCTCCTTTATGGAGAACGGTAATAAATTGCTAGAGTTGCGTTGTGAGTTTGTGCCAACGGAATACAAACTCGTCGAACAGATATACAAAACAGATTTGCAAAAACCATGATAAACAAGTATACGATTTGCACACAATTGGGATTTTAAGTGTCACATTTCGGAGAACATGCATATTACAGATGTATTAGTTCTAATATTTAGCGTCCGTGTGTAAACAGCAATATTTTCTTTCTTAAGTTACATGATAAATCGTTATGAATAAGACGTATATGTATAAGCAATACATCTTAAAAATGCATCCCCAAAGCTTTTATAATTAAATAGAGTTATTCAAAATTATTATTAGATGAAAATATATAAAAATGGGCTCTATATTCTTTTTCAAATAAACTCACGCCTTCATCTCTCATTAAAAGAGTTAAAAGAATTAATTTTATGGTAATTTTGTGGGGGTGGAGGTGCACCTCGTGCCGAGGCTACTGTTATTCTCAAAAGGGCTGTAAACGAACCCTGAAATTGACTCCCAGTCCCGTCGCATTCGGGGATGCGACCAGGTCGCTGCCACTTTTCTTCCATTCTTGCGTCTTGGTGGGCAAATTTTCCGGACCGTTCGGCAGGAGGACGTAGGCCATATTCGCATGAATCCCATTCGTTAAGGCACAATGTCGCTTAATTTCCGAAAGCACTTGGCGCGCAAAGCCAAGCGGGTGGCAATTCAATCGCGATGCGTGCGCTCTATGAAAATGGAGTTTAATTCAGGCTCCTCCGTGTCGACGGAGCTGGTGGATGAAAACAGCAACAACAACGACGACGACGACGACGACGACGACGACGACGACAATAATGTCGAAGCGACGTCGCGTCGCGTCGTCTCGCTGCTACACCCTTATCCTCGTTTCGTCTTCACTTTGCGCGCTTCATGATGGACGTACTGCAATCGCAGAAATTTTAATAAATGTGTGATGATAGTAGTATTTGTTGGACTTTAAACTATGGATTGTCATATTTTTATAATTGCTTGTAACAAGACAAATTTCGGCAGTGGAATAATAATGAAGCGTTTGATATATCGAAGTAAACAGCTTTTTAGTGAATTAGATTTTAATAACTAATTAAATTATTTAGATGATTTCAAGAAAAAGGTTGATGTAAGGGATTGTTTTTAAGGCTCAATAATTAATTAATATTGACCTTTTAAGAATTATTCCGTACAAATCTGTGAACAAATATCTCCGATATTATTATATTTTATTATACAAAATTATGTGATTTTTCTGTAAATTAGTAAATTAGTGTACATTTCTAGACATTGTCTCAAAGATGTTTCCCTCTTTTCTGGGATATCTAATTAATTTGTAATATCTCAAAGGAGAAAGAAGACGAGAACGATTTCACGAATACAAAGTTGCGTGGGGGTATCTCAATTGAAAATCCTTCTCGCTCGCTATCTCGTCGTCGCTATCGGAAGATAGCGTCTCGTACGGACGGAGAAGTCGCTCTCACCGGGACGCAGTTTACCCCTCGGTAATTTCCCCTGGCATTGAGGAATGTGAAAGTCGGCGATTCTTCGCGTCGGCAGGGAGAAAGATAGAGAGAAACGCGCGAGTGACGCGATATCAAATCGATCCTTCGACGTCACGAAAGACGAAGGAGCATCGCCGTCGACGCCCGCGCCGTACACCGTACCTATATACCGTCGTCGACGAGATGCAGTCGACCGTCCACCGGATGGAAACAAAGGATAACGAGGCGCGAAAATCGCTTAACGCGATTGGCCATCGATCCGACGGGAAACTTATCTCGCCCGTCGTTGCTCACTCGCCGAGCCAATAAAGGAGAGATCCCTCGGCCTTTCCGCGGGATTAAATATCTCGGAGCAATTTACCTCCTTCGATCTTTCCTCTGCGCACCGTTCTCCTCTCGCCTTCTCGTTTCTTCTTTCTTTTTCTCTTACCCTTATCTAGACGCCGACGCCCAGATTTCACCGCGGAGAAACGATCGCTTCTCGTTCCCGAAGCGATACGAGAGGGTGAATCCAATCGATCTGAAATTTTTTCACGCGTAGCGCGCTGTGTCGTTGATGATACGAATACGATAAAGGTGATTCAGCTTTGCGATCGTCGAGAAAAGCGTATTAAATATACGCTACAATCCTTGGATGTTTAAACAAGTAAAGAAAGAATAGGTCAATGTGATAAGTGATAATTTGTGTAGACAGAGTGATAGCCTTATTATATATCAAGATATGTAGTAATGTCTTTACACTACGGAGCGTCGCGCCGTATGTATCGTCAGAAATTATTCTCATTTGCGAGCATAGAAAAAGTTGGAGTAACGCGAACTATGTGGACAACGTGAATCATCACGATATCTAGAATAACAAGTGTTACAACCTACGAGCGGACAGCAGTGGACGTACTAGCTGCTGGCCCCCTAATCTAACGTACAAAGCGGCAGCGTGGCACACGGTGTCATAAAGTTAAAAATTAAACTTTAAGATTTGGTGTGTGTCGTTTACAGCATGAGGTTATAGTATACAAACTTTTACTTTACAGTTAATCTACTTCACAGCTTTTTAGTCGCTTTTTGTTGCACGTAAAACTAACATAGACCTTGATGTAGTCTATTTACCAAGTGTCATATGGTGTACATTTCTATTGTGTACGATAAAAAGGTAAAAATAGTCCGATGTCGGATAATTTTAAGATAGTTCGTGTAATACTTTACATATAAGTATTGCATTTTATATTCTCGTGTTTTTGTCTTTCAGGAGTAATAATATTACGAAACATAAAACGTAGAGAGAGTTTGTATAATAAATTAGAATATAATCTATATATAATACACGACGTCGTATAAACTATTTTATTATTAATATGCCTTAAAATACGAGAAACGTATTTTCTCGCAAGATTAATAAAGTGATTTACCTTGCCCAACATATCGTTCAAGTTACTCCACACGTATCTATATTTGTTAGAAGCACGTTGTAACAAACATTTGGCATTACAATTCTACGAAAACAAAAGTTCAGCTGTCTTTAATACTTTTTCAGGTTATCTTGAAAAAGGCTTGATGGTTCACCGTGCCTTATATAACACACACGTGGGGCTCAACTTTTTCTATTCATGTACATACATGCACCGTTAGAGGAGATTGATAATTTATCGTTGTTCAATTTATTTCGATGATACCGTCGATTCTGCAAAATGTTTAATTGATTGATTTCCAAGGCACACTGTTTAATGTTTGTTTTATTTTATTTTGTTTTATATCTTTTAATTTTGTCATGATTTATTTTTCATTATTGCACGTAATTTAGATTTAATTATTGTGTTTATTTTTTGAAACGGTGTTTTTCCACAAATATTACTTTACGTCCTGTTTAATATTCTACTCACAAGTATAGGCTTTTTACACAGGGAAGCCAAGTTTTCTGGACGGCTCTGTTTCTGATATTACGTCACCGCGACCGATCTGCACCCTGCGTACTATTTTTAATTGCCGCGGGTTGTAATGAAAAAGTACAGAGTATCGTGTATTACGATGTGTGTCGTGCGATGCGTGATTCAAACACGCGAGAATGAATTTTGAAGCATTTAATATTTTTCCTTTTTTATTGCTAGTGAAAAACTTGATGCTACCAGAAAATCATATATTTCGTATTACAAATTAAAAAGAACGTACACGAGACTGCGCGTAGTTGCGCGGAAGTTCTTACG